GTGTGTGTGTGTTTATATAAAACGGGAGGAAAAGAACGTCCTACCGCCGGAACTGGGCAGCTATAGAAGAGGAAAGATCACATGGATGAAAGCTGCTACTCTTGCATCCGACGTATATGATGGCTTCGAACGGGGGGAAGAGACTCTGGTAGCAGCATTTGACCTGACTGGAAGATGCCTACAACCGAGTTCAGTACGAAAACCCTCATGAGGACTCTAGTCAACCTGAAGGTAGATCCACATTTAGTACAATGGATTGGGGCAGCGCTGCTCAAACAAAAGGTAGCACTACATCTTGGTTGCTGGGCTTCGCAACATATCGAGATCACACCAGGCTTACCACAGGGATCTGCACTCTCGCCAGTTCTGTGCAACGTTTATACAATAGGGATTACTTCCAACCAGCTGGAGGGGCCCGGACGTGTACTCAATTTTGCTGATGATGTGCTAGTGTACAGGCAGGGCAAGAACCGCCAGCGGATAGAGTACTGGAAGAACTCGACAGACTTGAACAGTGGTGTGAGGTGTACAACGGGAAACTGCACCCAGACAAATCCTGTGCACTGTGGTGTACACTGAATAACCATGCAGTGCACGATCACATGCCATGTATCTCAATTGGAGGCACAGTGCTGAAGAGGGAACCCACACTGAAGTACTCGGGCATCAAGTTTGATCGCACCCTCTCTGGCAAAGATCACATCACGAGAACAATCTCCAGGGCGGGAAAAGGCCTAACAGCCCTTAAGATGATGGCCAGAACTAAGGTGACCCAGAAAATCCTTGTCATCCTCTACCAGACACTGGTACTCTTTGTCGTAGAGTACGGGCTCGGACTCTTGACCCTCTCAAAGGCGCAACTGCAACGACTCGATGTGTTACAAAATGAAGGAATGAGGGCAATCCTGGGGTGCACACGAGATGCCTCAACTAAAGCAATGAGATACTTCCTAGACTTCCCCTGTGCAGACGAGAGGCACAAACTGGCACAAGTCCAAGCCTTTCTGCGAGTCAGCGTAGACGAGACAAACCCTCTACATAAGAAAGTAGGACGGCAGATGACATCAAGGCTAAAGAGGGGCACAGAATGGATGACTCAAGCCACGAACACCATCAACGAGTG